ATGTATTATTGATAAGGTTTTGGGGGGTACCCACGAAGGACGTTGGAGTATACCCATTCCGCCAGCCTATATGTGTGCTTAGGCTTAAGACTATACTAAGTAATTTTCTACTGCAGAAGCTTAAAGTATAACTTATTCTTGTGCTCTAATTAAGTGTTATAGTGATTAGAGTCTAACGTAAACCCCCAGCACCTAGGCCAACCCAGCACCTGGGCCATTTCTTGCCAAGACTACAACTATTAATATTAACACGTAATGCCTTGCTAACAAGATGTGTAATTATCTAAATAAGAGGGTAGAATTAATCTTACCCTTTCTACTTTCTAATTATATAAATTTAAAAGCCTCTAAAGTGCTACTTAGGCATTTAATATACTGTGTACAACCTTAAGTGCTAGGTATAGAGGCAGACTCTATATTAATAATAGACATAACACACAATATAAGCTTACACGCACTAAAGAGCAAATAATTATATAATATATTCTTAACCTTAATTCGCAAGGATTTGCGCCCTAGCTGTGCAAGGTGGCAGATATAGCCAACAAACTGTTGGGTGTACGCGGTGGGCAGCCTATTAGCAAGCACTAGGCTGAGCGCTTTGTGACGCGTTTAGCTATACTTAAGATAGCCTTTAATCAAGCTAAAGATAGGCAGAGGATGCTGCAGGAGGATCTAGAGACAATTAGCGCGTGGTTTAAGCTAGTAGAGGACATAAAAGCTAAATATAGCATACACAACTACAATATACACAACTTTAATAAGACTAGCTTCTAGATAGGTATTATTAGCTTAATAAAGGTTGTTACAGGCGTAGAGAGACGTAATTAACCTCAGCTTGTTTAGCCAGGTGATTGCGAGTAGGTAACAGTTATCTAGAGCGTCTGCGCTGCTAGATCTTGTACCCTGCCTTTTATTATCTACAAAGGACGCGTTCACATCTCTGCCTAGTACGAGGAGGCAGATATACCACGCAATTGGAAGCTCTCTGTCTCTGAGAGCAGCTGGACGAACAACGCGCTCGGCCTTGAGTGGCTGAAGCACTTTGACGCGCATACAAAGGCGAGCTAGGTGGGGGCGTACAGGCTGCTCATTTTAGACAGCCATAAGAGCTACCTTAACTAGGATTTTAAGGACTACTGCCTTAAAAACATAATCCTTACCCTCTATATACTACCTTACTTATTACACATCCTCTAGCTGCTTAATATAGTCTACTTCTTACTATTAAAGCACAAGTACTCTTAGCATGTACAAGACTTAGTATATAAGCACGTCTTCTATATTAACAAAGAAGGCTTCCTCCCTACCTTTAAGGACGTGTTTTTTAATATATTTATAGTAGAGAACTATTACAAGGCCTTTAAGGCAGCAGGGCTAGTCCCTCTTAACGCGCAGGTTGTGTTAGATTGCCTTAAAGTGCGCCTGCGTACCCTGCTAGAACCCCTCCTCCTAGAGACACTGTAGTAGTTAAAGACTCTAAGCAATACCTACAAGTTTAGATCTTAGTTAAAGCTTGTACGCAAGTCTTTTACTTAGTTACCTATTACTATATAAGCAGGCTTCTCTTAGCTTGTTAGAGGTAGTAAGCTTTTGCTGCATTAGAACGCGCTTTAAGCAGCCTAGATTACTAAGCTTAAAGAGTAATTAGTAGTAATAACTAAGCAGAAATTGCGTAAAAGGAAGCAGATCTAGCAAGGTGGTACTATAGAGTATGGTGAGGCAGCAGCTTAGGTGGCTGCAGAGGCCTCTGTAGCCGCTAAGCAGTTAAAGAAGGCTTGTAGTAGTAGTAATTAAGAACAAGCTTAACTAGCTCTACAGTGCTGTAGAAACTATGGAGGGACTAGACACAACGCGCAAACGTGCAAAAAAGATATAGAGGCATATTCTAAATTAGATACAAGCACAGTATACGCAGGCTCTATGTTAAATAGTGATGAAATTGAAGAGTTGTAACGTGAGTTGGTACTGCCAAGCTTTTTTGGCCCGGGTGCTGGGTTGGCCCGGGTGCTGGGGGTTTACGTTATACCTGTTGCCTATTAAGATGTGAGCTAATTGCAGTGACAGTAGAGGAAGCAAGTAACCCAGCTTTCAGAGCAAGGATTTGAGGCAACTGCAGATGCGAAATTCTGTACTATACGACTTGTAGGTTGCAAGTGACGCCTAGTCAGCTTCTCTATATACTTAACTAGGTCCTCTTCTAGTTGGTGGTTGAGTTTTTAGTTGTTGCGTGTCTTGGTAGTGGGGGACCTGCACGCCTTAGTGCGCGCGCGACAACGTTGTACGCAATACACTGTGTTTTTCTGCAATCTTTGTATAGACAACTTCTTCTTCTAGTTGCATTGCAACTATCTCTGCAAGGGCATTGCTTAATCGTGGCATGGTGTTAAGTTATTACGCGTTGAAATCTAGTGTAGATGTTACGCGCCGGGCGTTCGGTGACTCCGGGTGTTCGGTGCACGGACACGGTACCGTGTCCGTGCGCGTGATGCGCGGATTCGCGTGATGCGCCGAACCACCAAAACAGCTCTATTATCTCAGCTCTACAACAACGCAACGCAATGGGATTAGAAGAAGCGCTTGCAGAGTGTGATACTTTTGTATCTGAAGATGCTATTCCATAGTCTAAAATAGCAGAAAAGCATGGTATTGTGCGGTCAACATTGACGCGCACGTGGAGGGGTGAGACGCGTCCGCACAAAGAGAAGGTTCTTGCACAACAAAAGCTCACCCTATAACAAGAGGAGGAGCTTGTACGATATATAGAAGAGCTTACTGCTCGTCATATACCTCCTACAAGAGAGATGATTGCCAATTTCGCGTCAGCAGTCGCCCAGGAGCCAGTGAGCGAGAGCTGGGTTACCCGCTTCATCAACAAGTACTCTATCCATCTTATCTCTCAATACTCAACAGGTATGGACGCCAATCGCCACAACGCTGATTCCTATACCAAATATAAGCTATACTTCAACCTACTACAACGCAAGATTGCCGAATACAAGATTAACACTAAGCACACATACAATATAGATGAGAAGGGCTTCATGATTAGGGTCACCTTAAGAACAAAACACGTGTTTAGCAGGCGTATGTGGGAGAAAAAGGAGGTCAAAGCATCACTTCAAGATGGCAATTGTGCCTGGTTGACGCTCATAGCGTGTGTGTGCGGCGATGGATCAGCTCTGCCCCCAGGCCTCATCTACAAGTCTGCCAACAACACCATCCAATCAAGCTGGGTAGATGAAATCAAGCCAGGGGAACACTCTGTGCTTGTTTCTTTGTCGCCTTCAGGCTGGACTAATAACAAGATAGGCCTAGCTTAGCTTAAACAGGTGTTTAATTGCTTTACCAAGGCCAAAGCTTGAAGAAAGTACCGCCTATTAATTGTTGACGGCCATAGATCTCATGTGACAATAGACTCTATCAAATACTGCGATTAGAACAGGATACTCCTAGCTATCCTTCCTCCTCATTCAACTCACACGCTGCAGCTGCTTAACAAAGTAATGTTTAAGCCTCTGTCAACGGCGTACTCAAAGGAGCTTACAACACACCTTCACAGTGGCCAGGGCCTATCAGTGATCAAGAAGAGCGACTTCTTCCACCTGTTCTGGAAGGCCTGGACGAACACGTTTACTCCAGAGCTGATACTCAGGTCCTTCAAGGCAACGGATATATCACCCCTTCAGCCTAACGTCATCCTCCAACGCTTTGCCAAGAGTACCCCTGAGGCCTCTGACAGCAGCACAAGCTCTTCTTCAGTCTATTCTGGCAAGGACTGGCTCAAAATAGAGACTCTGTTGCGGAAGGTAGTCAAGGAAGAGAAGGAAGAGACTAGTCCAGAGCTGAGGAAGATCAGCCGCTCGCTCCACCATATATCAATTCAAAATCAGCTCCTCCACCACAAGAATCAGGGTCTTAAAGAGGCGCTTAAGACTCAGAAGAAGCACAAGAATAAGAGCAAAGTTCTTCAGTTCCAGCCTCGCAAGGACTATCACGGTGGGGCTGAGTTCTACTCTCCCAGCAGAGTAGAGAGAGCACGCTCTGACGAGAGGGCAAAACAACAGAATCAGAGAGCAGAAGAACATAGAAAAGCAGAGAAGAAGAAGGTCAGGCAAGCTAATAAGCTGTACAATGAGAGGATTGCTCAGGAGAGG